CAGGCGCGCTGCTGGGCACTCGCGCTGCCCAGCGCGCAGGACAGGGCGTGGGGACGGCTCCAGGCTCCTCCGGGACCCCCTGCGCCCCAGGAGAGGAGGGGCGTGCATCCCCCAGGGGCTTCGCCTTCGGGCGCTGGGGGTGGCCCCGTCCCCACACTGCTGGGGCCCAGCGGGGCGGCACTCCCGAGCGCCCCAGCGAAGCCTCTGGAACTGCCCTCTCAGGGTGCTTCCCTTCCCTCCCGGGGGGCGAAGGGGCTGGAAGGTGCTCCCGTGGCAGCCCCCTACCCCCCCAGGGGGAGCAGCCACGGGGTGTCTCCACAGAGAAGCCGACCCACCACGCGCTGAGGGCCGGAGCCTCCGTGTCCAGTCAAGGGTGAGCGGGCACACAGGGCCGCTGACGGCCGCCCGCTGGAAACCGCCAAGACACAGCCCCCGCTCCAGGTGTGGGCTCCCCGGGGCTCCCCGGGCCGTGCCCCAGCGGGCGCACAGGACAGGCCACGTCCTAACAAAGGCTGGCAGGGACCATTGTTTGAGATTCAGACCGCGGAGCCGCCAGCACAGCCGCCCTCCGCAGGTCTGTCTCGCCGCGGACAGTGAACTCCCAGTGGTCCAGCGAGGGCGGAGGGCGGCCGCCCGCACAGGGGAGTCACCCCAGCCCCGGGGCTGCCTCCGCTCCGACGCCCACCCGCGACCACGGCCCACGCGCTGCGCCAGGGAGCAGGTCTCCGGGGGCCGGAGGGCAGAGGGCAGCGGAGGTCAGCACGGAGCCCGCGGACAGGCAGGGCCCGAGCCCGGGTCCCGGCCACCAAAGCCCTGGCTTTGACTCTTTGGGGGAGGCTGCGTTTCCGAAGCTCAGACTTCGCCCGTGAAGTGAAAATCGCCTTCTGGTGGAGACGGCTTTAATGATCACTTTGCTTCCTGCGTCTCCATGGCGACCAGGCGCCCCAGCCCACCCCCTCCGGCTGTATCAGGCCTTTCTTCCTCTGGAAAGTCATCAATCAAGCCTCAGGGACGCCTCTGAGACTGGATTTATCACCGAAACAATTGACGCTGGGTGGGGGTGGGGAGGGGAAGCCACAGAATTTGATGAAATCTGGCTCCTTCCTGGCGCCCTCCCGGCCCCACTGGCAGCTCCGCCGCGCACACCTGTCGGGGAGGCGCGGGCCCAGGTGCGCCAGTGTGCCCAGCCGAAGCCCCTCTGCACAGAGGCCGCAGGGGCGCGGCCCCGCCCCCGTGGGGCGCAGCCCCGGGCGCCAGGGGTCTGCGAGCCTCGAGCGCGCCAGGGGAGGAAGGGCGGAGCTGGCGCCAGCGCTGGGTGGAGGCGGCCACGGTCCACACATCCCCGCTGGACAGCCAGCACCCTGGGAAGGGGAGCCCCGGCAGGCTCCTCTGCCCACAAGCCGGCGAGGAGGGCGGACCTGAGCGCCCAGCTGGGCCGGGCTGATCCGGTCCTTTCGGGACAAAGGGCTCCATCGCGCCCCAGCCCCGTCCCCGGACGTGAACTGCGGAGCGAGCCAAGCGCCAGGGCCTGGGTCCTGCCGAGGCTCCCCACACGCAGACAGGGGCTCCGAGTCCCGCCAGATACCTGCGCCAGGCGCCGGCTCCTTCCTCCCCCGCCCGCCCCCGCCCCGCCCCCACCCACCCCGTTACCTGGGTTCTCCCCGGCGGCGTCCGCGGTGGAGGTGGCCGAGGAGTCGGTGAGGACGCTAGGGTCACTCTGCGAGCGGCCCCGCGACACGAGGCAGCTGCTCCCGTCCTCAGATGCGGCCATGGGCCCGGCGGGGGCAAGTTGGATGGAGCCCGCGGAATCAGAGCATCGGAGGCGGCCAAGGTCACTGACGAGAGGGCTGGAGGGGGCGTCTTTTTAAAAAAGCAAATCCGAAAGGACTGGGAGAGGACGCAGGGGCTGGCTCAGGGCGGTGAGACAATGGCCTCGCGGCTGCAGCCCGGCGCATCCCGGCCGCGCGGCCTGGTGTTATTTATTCGTATTTATTCCCATTCTTCAGTCTATATTCCAGGAAAAAAAAAAGTTGAACCAGGAAATAAAAACTTTTTCTTGTCACAGTTTATTGCGTGCTTGGGGCTGGGGGTGATGTCCAGGAATTTCTGGGGACGCTCCCTCCCCCCACCCCACCCCCCACCCCCCCGGAAAAAAAGGAAAAAAGCAGAATCTTTGCTCTTGCAATTGCTTTAATCTGAAAGCTGCTCTTGGAGCATCTGTTGGAAAACATTAGGATTCTCCCATCATGCCACGCGAGAGGAGCATGACGTCACGGAGGGGCGTGCGGAGCCCAGCCGGTGGGGAGGGGCGCACGTACCTGGCCGCGCAGCGCGAGCGGGGAGCGGGGTCGCCGCCGGCGCTCGGGGAAGGGGAAGCCCCGCGCTCCCTCCCTCCCTCCCGCAGGCAGAGGGGGAGCCTGCCCCCGCACCTCCCCGCAGGGCCCGGGCTGGGTGCCCCTGCGCCCGCCAGGGCCTTCCTCTCCAGGGGCGGTGAGGCGGTGAGGCCCCCGCCTCCACCCTGCAGCTTGGGGGTTTCGTCGCGCCCAGCACTCTCCTGCCCAGCCCGACCCTCGCGCCTCAGGCCCTCGCGGGACTCCTCCCCTTCCCGGAGAGAGGCGGAAGGCACCTGCCGGGCTTTCCCGAGGCTGCGGGCCAGCTAGGGAGGGGGCACCCAGGGCTGCCAAGTACAGGGCGCCCCTACGGTGCCAAGGAGCAATTCTCACCATTCTAATGGGGGGCGGGTCCTGGCAGCTCCAAATCTCCAGCCAAAGCAGGGCGGGAGGGCAAGGAAAGAGGAAGGTGCCCGAGGGGCCAGGGAGGGTGGGGCAGCCAGAGCCAGGTCTGGGCCCGCAGGGGCGCTCAGGGGCCTGGGGCAGCCCCCTCTGCAGCCTAGGGAGGCTCCAGGGAGGGCCCAGCCTTCTTGTCCCGCCGGCAGGGGCAAGATGCTGGATGCAGGCGAGGGAAGCCAGGCAGGGCCCGGCGGGCAGAGCCCTCAGAGGGCAAGCGCACAGCAAACCACCACGCCCGCTCTGGGGCCCCGGGGAAAACTGGCTGCGTGGTCCCTGGTAGTCCAGAGGCCCCTCACATTTCTGGGGCTACTACCACAGGCCACGAAGGGGCCGGCGTTTACTGACTACTTTTGATCCACATAAAAGTGCGGGTGGGGCCAGCCTGAGGCTGGGCTTCGGGCCGCATGTCTTCCTCAGATGCCGGGGAGGTAGGAGTGACCGTGGTCACCCCTGAGGTGAGGGCAGCTCTGGTGAGCGTGAGACAGGACAGGCCAGGAGGGGCCAGTGGGCACAGCCAGCGCTCCTGGCCAGTCCCGAGCCTGCGCAGGCTCCAGCCTGGGGGTCCTGGGCCCATGGGCAGATTTCAGAGCCCCCTGCCCGGCCCTGGCCCCTGAGTCCAGACAGGGTGGGGGCACCGGGGGGGGGGCAGCGGGCACTTCCAGGCACCCTCGGAGGGGACGCAGCGCTGCGGGGCCTCCCGCCTCCCCGAGTCCATCCCTTGTGGCCCCACTTTGTCCAAGGGGCGCTGACACAGCGGGGGGCCCAGGCCCCGGGCTCCCCTCAGAGGCCGCTGGTGTCCAGGACATGCAGGAAGCCCCGGTCCGCAGGACACTCTGCGGAAGCCAACGTCCCTGCTCCCTAAGAACATCCGGGTCCCTCCTGGGGGCCACACCACAGTGCCCACCAAGGCCACGGCAGGCCCCTCTGTTCAGCAGGGGGGACATCCCCAGAGTGGCCATAAGCCCAGCAGTGCAAACCCCACTGGACATGTCTGCTCTAGCGGGGAGCAGGGGGAACCCTTCTCATCCACCTCTCTGGGCACCCCATCTCCAGGGTGCCCCCCCGGGCACCCCCATTCCCAGAGCACCCACATCCCCGGGGCACCCCATCCCAGGGCTGGCTTTATTCTCACTCCAAGTGGGGTGAACATGCCCGTCTTTCCAAGCACCCGTCTTGTGCCGGACGAGGCTTGTGGGGAGTCCCTCCCCTTCGGGTGGGGTTCTTGGCTTCCCCAGCTCTGGTGGCCACAAGAACCAGGATTAACTAAGCGGTGGCTTGGTGCCCCGACTTCCGAGGGCCCTGGCTTAGGGTGAGCCCGCATAGCTGGGGAGCCTGGCACCCCACGGGCCAGGAGATGCAGTGAGAACTAGGGGACACGTGTGTGGGGTGGGCAGGCAGAGGGAACCTCTGAGCAAAGGCCAAGCAGCAGGCAACCCCCAAGGCCCAGAGGGAGGCCCCGGGGAGCGGCCTGGGGGCAGGGCTGGCCATGCTGCCTGCGCCCAGAGGGCCACCAGGAGCGGAGCGCCGCAGCGGGGAGGCAGCGGGCTGGACCTGGCTGCGCATGCTGGGCAGGGGTCTGCCAGAGACCCAGGACTCGGGAGGGCAGACTCCGCTTCTGGGGTGAGCTGGATCTGGGTGGGGGTCACCCGGCAAGTCTGCTCTTAATAAGGAGTCGGCACAGGGCCGTTTCCTGGGGCAGGGCGGGGCAGAAGGGGGCCCTGGGCTGGAGAGGTGCAGCGCGGAGCCTGGACTCCAGCCCCCGGCCTCGGTTCTGCCAGGCTGGGCCAGGGGAAGCGCCCGCTCGGCCCTCTGGCTGCTGCTGCTCTCAGAACAGGCACGGCGTGGGCACGGCCGTGGGCAGGGCGTGGGGCAGGTGGCGCTGCAGAGCCAGCCCAGGCCTTGCTTGCTGCTCCCAGGGACCGGCCCCTGACCACGCAGGGAGGGGTGCGGGGCGGCAGGGTGGTCGGCCACAGCGGCCACGTGCGCGGTGCGCTCGGAGGCCACGGTGGCCCGCCACACCGGCCGCCACACCACTCGCTGGGTGCGCAGGAGGCGGGTTTGTGTGGCCCGCGTGGACAAACCAGGCCTGGCTCTCCTGTCTTGGGACAGAACTAAATCTGCAGCCCGCGGTAGCTTAGAAAACTGCTCATGCCACATGTCCACTCACACTTCCGGCGCTTTGCGGCTACAGAAGGTAAAACGCAGCGGGAATCGGGGACCAGAGGAGGCCCAGCCCGGAGACAGCGCGGCGAGAGCGGAGAGCGGCGCCCTCTGCTGGCCACGGCGGGGCCGCGCCCAGACCGGCCGGGACTTGCCAGGGGCCGGGCGCTTGCATGACTGGGCCCTGGCGGTGGCCGCAGTGCTGGGCCCTGAGGCCGCCGAGGGCCTCCCTCAGCGCAGTGCCCATATGGCTCTCTTCTGGACACACCCAACTCTTCTGAAGTCAGGTCCTGAAACGTGGTTTGCACCCAGGGCTCCGGCCCAAGCTTCCTCCCCCAGGCAGCGAGGGCTGCAGGCGCCCTGACCGTGGCTCTGGGCTCACCCCCAGGAAGGGAGGGGGGCAGCCTTCACCCACAGGCAGGAAGAGGCCCTGTGGCCCCTCAGCTCGCCCACGCCCTGTCTCCTGGGGGAGGCCTCACAGGCAGCTGCTGCCAGCTTCCTCCCTTGACTGTCCTGTCCACTGGGGTCAGAGTGGCCGCCGCTGCCCCCTGACACCCCTGAGGACGGACTGCCCCACCCCTCCGGGGCCCTCGGGAGCCAGGCGCCCGAAGGAGCAGTTCCCACCCCACCGGACGTGGCCACCGTCCAGAGACTACCAGTGGCTGCCCGCCCTGGGCGCCCTCCCGTGGGCAGCTGACCTGGTGACACCCTTGCGGCATGGGGCATCCCCCAGGCCAGCGCCCTCCTGGGGTGCAGGTGACTGGCAGGTCCGAGGCGGCTCAGCAGCCTTGCCTCAGCGGACCAAGTGTGTCCTTGGAAGTGACCGCCCGGCTCCCCTCCAGGAGATGGTGAAGGGCCGCCGTGAAGCCTCAGGGCCGCCGGACCGTCCACATTTTTACTTTAAAAGAAGAAAGTCCACGTTTGAGCCCCTGAACCCTCCCCCTTCCCGACCTGCAGGAGCCGCTCCCCCTGCTCAGGCCCTCCTGGCTGTGAGAGGCCGCGGCGCAGCTACCCAGGGCCGCAGGGGCCGGCGGGGCTTCACGGTCATTTCGGTAACACATGGCCGGTCCGTGCCGCAGCGCGTCCCGGAGCCTCTGCAGACCCAGAAGCGGTGGGGGTCCGACGAGGGGTCGCACACCGGGACCCAGAGCCGGCCAGCCAAGGCCACTGGATCTGCCCGGCGGGTTCGCGAGAGAGCGGGCGCTGGCTGCACCCAGCTGGACACTGACCCCTGAGCCTCTGCGGCGGATGGGCACTGTCCTGGCCGCCCCCGCAGAGAGGAAGAGCCAACTGCTGTGGGGTCCCGTGGTGCAGAGGTCACGCAGGAGTGGGGTGCAGCTGGGGCGGGGCTGCGTCTGCCCCTCGCACCCCCCTCCTGCCCAGCCCCTCCTCGAGAGTGGGGTGTGCTGCCGCTCAGGGTCAACCGCAGACTCATGGAACCCCGAGAGCGGCAGGCAGGGGACCCCACTCTCCCGCCTGAGGGCACAGCGCCCTCCTGCCACCGGCCTCCAAACAGGCCCCCAGGGCCGCCAGGGCGCGGGCACAGGCACTCCCTGCGGGTCCGGGCAAAGGCCCAGGCACAGCGCAGCTGCCCAGGAGCGAGAGCGTGGCTGCTGCTCTCACAGCCGGCGTGCCGCGGCTTCGCGCAGGGCGGGGCTCCCGCTGCCGGACTCTGGCCGGCCTGCTGTTCCCCCAAACCCACAGCCCTCAGCCTCGCCCAGACCGCGCCGCGCGCGCTCGGGGCTCCGGCTTCCACTGGGACCAGAGGGCTGCGCCTCGCTCCCTCTCAGGATTCCGGCTTTAACCAAGACGTGAAAAACTG